GTCTTCGGTGCGTGCCACTGAGCCTGGCGGTCATCGCGGTTCGAAAGGGTACGTCAAAATGCCTCTTGGTTCCCCTCTGAAGGAATCGATTCCAGGTCTGTCTGGAGAAGCGTTACTGATCGATTATATTTTTATTTTTTCTTCAGATGATTCGGTGAATGATTCAGCCTTTTCCTGCCAAGAAGTTTGCTGAGCAATCTTCCCTAGCCACTAAATTCTTTTCTCTGCTTTCTAAATCTGTTATTCCAAGCAATGAGTCTTCAAAAACTGTTGCAGATCAACGACTTGAATTAGAAATCAGCATTAGTTTTCTGTGAACTTTATCTTAATGGCACCGGTTTTCTGTTTTGTGTCACAGCAGGAGTCTGCCAGGACTAGGAGCAGTCTCTATACTGGAGGCAAAGACATATCTTTGAATGTTCCTTTGCAGAACCTTTTTGAGATTGTGTCAAAATGGAACGTGAGTATATGGAGAAGATCAACACTTACTGTCAAAAGCATAAATTTACACTGGTTTATGCTGACGTCGGGAGAACCGGCCCATCTCACGATCCTGAGTAAGTTTGCTATGCATGTCATTAAACATCAGGACTCTTATGCAATGAACAAACTGGGTGAAGCTTGCAATTTCAAGAGTTCATTTGCTGAAAGCGTATATGTGGCAGGAGAGCTGGTTGAAACCATAAATTGAGTGATAGGTGAGTGGGGAGGATAGTGTTTGAAGAGAGGGCTTGTTTCAGAGTTGATGGCCCTTTTTGGGAAGCAACAGCAATGCATATGTTACTGGTTACTATATTGTTAGCATGTTATGCATCTGCCATGAAATCTCTCAGGAGGTGGGATGGCTTGCAGCAAATGTTTTGGCTTATCATCTATGCTAGCTGAAGTGCTTTGATTTTTGTTTAGTTTTCTAAAGCATGGAATCTATTTGTCATTTATGTTGTTAGTTTCTAATCATAAAGGTTGAGTGTATTAATTGATTGATTGACTTGGTACCAATATGTTTTATGTGTAATTAATTTTTGAACATCTGTTAAAAGGGCCTTTTTTTTTTGCTTAAGCTGTTTTGCTTTTACTTTTAGAGACAGGTACAGGCGGTGGAATATGTTTTATTTTTTTAACGCAAATATGGTGCTTTGCTAATTTTTTCTCTTGCCAGAGATCATAGATACTCAAGATCTATGATGTTTCCTTGTGTGATTTTTCTTTTTTTTTCTTTTTTTTTGTTTTTTTTTGCTAGTTTGCATGAAGACAAGCCTTTTGCTAATAATTAGTATGTTTCTTCTGGTGTCTTCCATGTTGCCAGCCAGCACTGTCTGTGCTGACATGTTCTTAGAACTGACCATAGTCCCAGAATAAATTAATAAATGTTATTTGAGTCTCAAACGTTAATCATTTGTCTTATTTTTTTCCCCATGCGTCTCATGTAATTCAAAAAAATAACCCTTACTGCAGTAATGGCTACAGCTGTGGTCACACAGCTACATCTTTATGCTTCAAAAGTGATGGCATGGGACTAACAGAATTTACACAGACTTCAAATTTACTCATTTATCCCATCTATTGTGCTTTTTCATTTTTCCCATGTGCCCTGCTACATTCACAAATATAATTCAACCCATTCTCTTGAATCTGTAAGTGATGTGACGTGTGACAGTGGTATCTAGGAAAAGCCTGGATAACTTGGGCTTTTCCAAGGTGTACAATGTGCAGTGTCTAGTTACAGCGATGAGTGCTGCAAACCTCCTTCGGTGCCCTTGTGGTGCTCTTTCCCAGAGCTCTGCTTGCTAACGGACGACGTTGACCACTGCTGGCCCTGAACTGTCTTCCTGACTTCTGTGCTGTGTCCCACCTTCTAAGTCTTCCTGAAGTTGTCTGAGGCATGACACAGAAACATCTTCTGTCACCTCCTCCCGTCCTGTCCTGATTTTGATGCTGTAGCTGCTTCCACTGCAATGTCTGGCAGGTTCATTGCACTGAGTGCAATGTAAGGAGGTTGAGAGAGCCCAGGCTGGCTCAGTCCTAAGCAGCTGTGAGCTTTCTTCAGCTGGGAATGCAGTGTTGTGGACAACCAGGCCAGTCCTGCCTAAACCTGTTAAGACTGGACTGTGCTTATTAACTTGGGGTCCATGGTGGATAAGTGTGACTGTATATTTGAGATCAACTGGTGTTAACACTCATTCAGGTAATCCCCAACTCAGATAATTAACTCATGAGTCATTGAGTTTTTAAGCAGATTATTTAAGCAGATTTCCTCAGGATGCTTAAATAAAATGGTGAATTTTGGATGCCAAGTCATAGCTGAGTGTGGGTTAGGGCTTCACAACCTTGCCTGTAATAATGCTAACCTTATGCATTCTTTTGCTTTTAGAAATGTAAATAATTTTGCTTTTAAAAAGCAGTTAAGCATTTAAAAATACTGTTAGAACTAAAAAAGTACATGCATTTGTGACTAGGGAGGAAACATTTGAAGATATTTCTGCGAAAGAGTTCTGATAATCAGGAGTTAGATATAATAAAAATACATGAATACTTAAGTAACTCCACAGTTATCTTAAAGCGCTTTGTAGATAACAAAAAGAAAGTTGGACTGAGAAGGTTTTTAAGTATACATGAGACAAAATGTAACAATGTTTTAGAAGAGTTTTCTTCATTGCAGGTTCACAGTTGTGGTTAAAATAAATGATGAAGAATATGGTATAGGCACTGGTAAAAATAAGAAGGTAGCAAAAGCGGTAGCTGCAAAAAAAACTTGGGAAATGATTGAGAAACAGGTGAGTAAACTGTAGGATTATTTTTTTTTTGCTAGTAAAGGTCGAAGACGAATCTCTAAAAGTAACCAACAAAATAACATTGTTTTCTTTAATTTAAAAGTTTCTAATTATTTAAGTAGTCTTTGTTCTGTCTTATTCAGTGCTTTTCTACTTTTACCACTGAACTATTTTCCTTATTGTTCTACTACAGGGTTGGTATGTAATATCGAGAGCGTTTCCTCCTCTCGTGTTATAGGAGGATGAGGAAATGTATTTGCCTTTGTTAAGCTGCCTTAGTATATCCAGAGTGGACAGTCTTCCATTTTCATCCTGACAACCATTCAGTAATTTGATGTCTTCAAAACACTTGCAGGGCATTGTTCAGTGTGTCTGTTGCCACTCTGCTCATAAAATTGGTTACCTTCCCTTGATCTGATTCATCTGTGTTTCCTTGTCATTATATTCTTTACAGTATAGCTGATTCTATACTTTTTATCCTTCCTTGATTTAGTTTAGGTTTGAATTTTGTTCCTCTGTTTTCTGCCATGTGTTTTGTGGTACCTGTTCTTTATTTTTCTTTTTGGCTTTGAATGCTTCTTAGCACCTTTTGAGTGAAATCTTTCTGTACCTGTTTCCATACGCTTCTTACTGTGTCACCATCGGTACTTTAACACAATTGCTGCATGTTTGCTGGTATATTATTAATGCTGCCTAATCATGAGACAGCAATACTTGGAAAACTGGATGTACGTTTCTTTGGAAATTCAAAACGTAATAATTCTGGGTTGGGATGGCTGTCCTTTGCCACAAGGGGCTCCGTTAATGCAAATGTGGGATTTCTTAACAAAAAGAAATATCTGTATATAAAAAAAAGATATTTTGGAACACTGACAAATCTTGCAGCTATATATTAAATCTCATGCACTGATTATCTTGATCTGTTTATTAAGCTTAAGTTTTTAAGTTACCTATTTTGTTTGGTTTATAGCCAGAGTCTCCTTCAAATATGGAAGCTGCAGAACTATTGACAACTCCAGTGACCTTGTTACCTGTATCAGCCAGCGACTACGTCAGCATGCTAAATATGTATTCACAAAAGGCATTGCAAATAGTTGATTATCCTTTCAAAGAGCGTACTGGAGACGCCCATGCTCCTATGTAAGATGTACTTTGTCTTCATACTTGCTTTTGATACTTCTTTACTAACACTACCGTTAGTTACTCTGAGTAATGTTAGATGAATCTTTAGAAATACAATACAAATTTGGAGGTAGTCAGGAAAAAAATCCAGTGGAGGGCCGTTAAGGTGGTTGAGGAGTTGAAGGATATGGCATAGGAGGAGACCCTAAGAGGACTGAGTTTATTTAGCTGGGAGAAGAGATGGCATGGTGATAAAATGGTAGTCAGTGCTGACAAATTGTCAGTTATCCTGGTTGTTGCTCTGTCGCCTTTGTGGACCTCTTGGCATATCCACTTCCATTTTGGAGACCCCTAGGAATGAAGTGCCAAAGAGAGCCTATTTGTGTCCCCTTCTGTATGTATCATAGTCAGTGAGATGTAGAAACATTCCAGTTAATGACAGCTGAGGGATGATAAAGAGTATGTACATATTTTAACTCTCTTGACAATATCTGCTGGAAAACTCCTCCTCTCTTCTCCTGCAAAATCATCTATTTTAAAACCTAAACTGCAGATAATTTGTGATTGTGGGTGCATATATTATGATGCTTTAAGGGGCTGAACCTTAAACAGTGCTAAATATTTATTCTCCGAAAATTGGTTATCTTGAAGGTATGTCAAATTAGTTATCTGCCATTATTACTTAAATTAAATCTATATTGGAAATACTGTCCCAAAGATGTATGTTTCAGATTTCCATTCTGTAATGTCAATTGACTGTAGTGTTTAAAATCATTAAATTAAGACTCCATATGGAATATAAGACTTTATTCCCTCTTGTGTTTTACAGATTTTCCTGTAGCTGTACAATTAATGGGGCTGTGTATGGAATTGGCACCGGACCTTCTCTAGCTGCTGCAAAACAAGCCGCTGCAAAACAAGCGGTTGAGAAGCTAATGAAGGAAGGCTATCTAACAGTACGTGCTGTATTTAGCCTTAAGACAGAAGTCTAATTCTTGTACCTTTAATCTTTGAATAGATTTCCTCATTGTATTTAAAAGCATATTCCATGGATTCCACTTGAGGGAAACAGTCCATATTTCGGTGGGTTGGTTGGGCTACAGGATTCTGTTGGTAAAATTTGTCTTGTGTTTCTATATTCAACTGCTGGATTAAAAAAAAAAATCATAGTTGGTATCTCTGTGTATTTCAGAATATGGTCTGATATGTTGTCATTCAAGGATGCACATATATAAACAATTTCTGAATCCTGGCTACTCTAATATACTGGTTGTCTCGGTGTTTACTGTTGTTGAGCTGACTGGCTATGAACATAAATCTCTTGCTGTTTTCTTTTGGATCAAAAATCTATTGTGAAATGTAAGAAAGGCAAAAGCAGGAGTGAGAATCAACAGGACTTGCCTTCTGTAGTGTTCCAAGGCAGAATCTAGTGAAGCAATTGCTAATGCTATCCTCTGGAGAGCAGAGCTGTTGTCTCTATGTTGGCAATTGTATTTCCATACGTGCAAAAAATAATCAGAATTCTAATAGCGATCCAAACCCAATTCTGAAATGCACAGAACAGTACGTATGAACCAACTTAAACGAAGTGTAGTTTCAAGGGAAGGAAGGCAGTATGGGGGAGGAAAGAAATCTTTTTTAAGTACTTTTTTCATTATTTGGCTGTTTACTGTGAATTTTAAATACTTCTTTTATCGTTGCTTTTAAGTTAACCATGTAATTAATGGCCTATTATAGCTGTAGGATCCTTCCTTAATATTTTCCTGTGTTGTGAGCTCACAGGTCTTTGCGTTTTCATCAGTCTGAAATTTACTACCTCAAGCAAAACCTCCATAGCAATTATTCTAAATTTGGGGTGGATTGTTTTGATTTGGTTTTAATTTTTATTAATTCCCAGCAGAGTCTGTGTAACGAACAAAATGTAACTAGCAAAAAGTAGTAAAGGCCCAATACTCCTGAATTAGAAAACAATGAGTTTTGTTTATTGGCTATCATTGAAACACAAATCCTTAAGTTATTTTTACTTTTTGTCAGGTTATGGTCTGTAACAATTGTAGGTGTTGCTTTTAATATTACATTTATGCTCTTATGACACGGGGGAGAAAAGAAAAAAGGGAAGAACCTCTACTAAGTATTTAGGATGAATTTTTTTAGTGGATCACAATTTAGTAATCCAAGTTTTGCAGGGCTTTCACACTGAAGACATTGAATGTCTTTCAGTACAGACTCAGATTTTCAGTTCTAGTGATTACACATACCAAAGCCTACATGTATCTCGTTTTCCACACAGACAATTGCATACGCAGTAAACAATGAAAACATCTGCTTTTAATAACTGTTACTCTTATCCTGATTTTTAATGGATCCCAGGCTCTACTTCTGCAAGTATATCTATATAGTCTCAATGAGTGGGAAAATGCTCACTGTGACAGGGCCCTGTGTTTCACTCTGGGTGGAAGTCAGGCAGATGCCTTTCTTCTGCAGGGCTTTGCATGTCCAGTGCAGTTAGTTAACAGCTTCCACTTAGGACCTTGTAATCTTCCCTCCCCCCTCCTTGAAAGGAATCTTTTGCACCAGGGATTTTTTTTAATGTGATTTTATTAATCATCTTTTTTTCAGATGGGAAGAGAAAAATCTACTGGCAATTCTACGTTTAGTGAACATAGTAATTCCTCTCGAGTGCCAACTCAGTCTGACTTGGAGTAAGTTAGGTTCACTGATAATATGGTAACAAAACGTATTTACTAATCTTAGAGGGTCATATGATCTAGTTCTGAATAAAATCTGTCATAGTTTCTTTATTGCATTATAAAGCTGTTTAATTTAAGCTTATATTTCTTAGACTTCAGAGGAAAATTTCTTGTACTTGTGCAATTTTATTAGAGTCCTTATGGGTTAGCTTATAATAATTTTAAAGCTTTCTGATATAACTGTGTTTTGCATAAGTAATTCTTTCAGAAACATTTTTACTGTGATGTAAACAGAATAACCTACCTTATTCAGCAGCATTATTTCATGCCACTTTTAACACTCATTTTTCTATTGTGACACTCTTGTGAACTCAGTATAATTCAATTTCGTCACTTTCCTGTGGCCCACGTTCTGCTTGCTTCTGTTTTTTTTTTTTGTTTTTTTTTTTTTTTTTCTCCATAAATCTTCATTTCCACCAAAGGTAAAATTTGATTAGCAGAAGAAAATGAACACACATGAAGTTTCATTTGTGATTTGGGAACCCTAGGTCGAGTCTTTTGTGTCCAGCAGTTAATTTGACTGTAGTGCTACTACCACTTTTACATTCTTTGTGTGATTGTAAAGCAAACTGATACGTATGATGCTAGAGGTGGCTGCACTGCCTTGAAATAAACATCTGTATTTAACTTACTTAATTAAAGGAGATAATAGAATATGTATCATTTAGATATCTAGATATCAAAGAGGAGTATATTGCAAAATGTTATTTTTATTAGCTTTCCAGCAAAAAGTTTTGTAGTTTAAATGAATCATGATTGTTAATGCTTTTTCAGGTTTTGCTTTTGAAAACTGTGTATTTTTTATGCTTCTTCTTTTCTTGTGGCAATAATTTTATTTATGATTGTGTTACTTTCACCTAAAGCTAGTCTATTATTTTTCAGTAACAACAGTATATGCTTTAAAGACTCAACTCCAAAATTGGTAGAAAAAATGAATGACTTGGCAGTACGTAAAAAGCCTTCACCTTTTGAGGTATAGTATGAAAATGGTCTTCCTCATGATTACATTTTAGACCCTGAATAGAGCAAGCTTCTTGTCAAGATTGTAGCATCAGTTTGTTCCTTTATCTACTGATCACTAGAAAACACGTGCATTTTTTCTAAGAATATTCATTACTTTCTTACTGTTAACCATTAGTAATTTCCTTCTGTACTGTGGACCAAATTTATGTCCTGTTGACTAAATGGGCAGTACTCCCAAGAAAGGGGATCAAATTAAGCTCATGCTTTTCTGTGGGAAGAGTGATGGTGTCATACATAACGTGAAAAATTTTAAGCTAAGATATAGCTTCATTCTTATCACATTGTTTATATAAGGTATGAATGGATTTATAGACAATTCCTAGACATGTCGTCAGACATATTTTAAACCAAATATAGTGAAAATATCCAGGATATCTTAGTTTTTTTTCTTTTTCATGTAGAAAGATTCACAACGTTTTGCCCTGAAATCCAAAAGGTACGTGCTTACTTCTAGGTTGCTATCTCCCATAAACTATATTGCAAACTACTTCAGTGTTTCTATATCTAGCAAAGAAATGCCACTATTGGGAGGTACATTTCTTTTCTCTTGTCACATACCTACAGGAAGGCTGGGGAGGGACTTTTTACAAGAGTGTCCACTGATAGGACAAGGGGAAATGGGTTTAAGTTGAAGGAGAACAGATTTAGATTAGATTTTAGGAAGAAATTCTTCAGTACGAGGGTGGTAAGACTTTGGAATAAATTGCCCAGAGAAGTTGTGGATGCCCCCTCCCTGGAGGTGTTCAAGGCCAAGTTGGACAGAGCCTTGAGTAGCCTGATCTAGTTGAGAGGCGTCCTTGCCCATGACGGGGAGGTTGGATTAGATGATCTCTAAGGTCCCTTCCAGCCTATGCCGTTCTATGATTCTATGATATTAGAAAAATGGCTCATTCTAAGTTTTGCTTTCATCCTTGTTAAAGAAAATTGGCAGCTAATTTTGATAATGCAAGAAACAAGGAAGACAAAAAAAATATGTCAGATTCAGATGAAAATTTGCCAGAGTTGGACATAAATACCAGTGAGGAGAATAAAAATCCATACACTGTGAATAAACGGTAAGAAGGATTTTTTTTTTTTTTAAATAAGATTTGTCTGGCAATTACAGTACGTAGTGGTTTAGATTTGTTTGTTTATCTGTAATAGAATGTGGGAAAATACTGCTGTAAAAATAACTTTCAAAGAAAATTGGTATTTGAGATTTTTTTTTCTGGAAATTTCAAATGTAGTATAGTAACTGACATGCAATGATATTTATATATATGATATAATATATATTAT